ATTGAACTCTAGATTTTGAACTTCTTGGTAGACACAGTTCATAGTTACTTGCAAAAAGCTATGGTTACTGGAGATCTTCCACTCCTGAGATATCTTACACTGCTGGATGTGGAGGCTTAGCAAACCTTACTCTTCAGTAGGGCGCCTATTTTCTTTTTAATACTGAACAATGGCAGGTCTTCAGTAAAGATCTGCAAAATCCTTATTGCCACAACTGTACAGAGCATCAACCATCAAAGGCATGAAATGCTTGCTAGTTGCATTCCGAAAACTGCCTAAGCATTGTTGAAAAATCTTTGCTGAAATTGTGATACCCATGCATGTTGTCTTAGCACAATAGTTAAGACATCTTAGTAAACAGAGACCCACAAAGATCTTAAGTAGTGTAGTGCATTGGAAGGCATTCTGCATGTGTTAGCAGGGTTGCATTCCAGCTCATCTCTAAATTCACTATATCAACTGGTTTGTGGCTTAATTGAACCAATTAAACAGCTCCCCTGAGCTTTTCTGGTTAATTTAAAAAGACCTAGAGCACCAGCAAAACAAACAGGCTCTCCAGGATCAGACTTAGACAGTCCTGCCTAAACTCAACTTAAAAATATGGAATAATTATGCAGATTTTCTCACTTGACTTTATCTGTTGATAGCATAGATATTTACTGATATACAAACATTTTGTATTTCTGATTTATATACAGTACATTGACCTTAAAAGGCAACTACAATGCAGCATCCTTCAAACATATGTAGACTAACCACTGAACTAATGGTTCTGGTCAAATCACGTGAAACAAATATAGAAAACAAAATATATTAAGCAGCCCAGTAAAACTTAAGACGTATCCAAACCAATTTTTTTCTTATCTTTGAAGACAATGGGTGCACTGTGTAAAGATATAAATTGACTGTGAGACAGCACTTAAGGCCCTGTGACACAAGCAGATCGGAGTTATGGTGATTTTTTTAAACAGGCATAATTGCATACTATAGTTATAGATAATTCAGATTTGCCTTCCAGAATACAGAATTTTAAAAAAGCAATGAGGTATTAAACCAAACGACACACTAGTAATTGTATTTTATATTATGTGTCTAGGCGACTGTATGGAATTGTCTCCTATACTAGAAAATTAATTCAGCAATTTGGCTGGTCCTGCACAAAAAACTTTCACAAGTTCTGTACTGACGACACTGTTTTTCAATCACAGAAGTGAAGCCACCTTCGGGGCAGAACACCACAGCTATTTTAAGTAAAAACAAAATAAACCACTTCCCTGATTTTTTTTTCTCCGTGGCTCTTTAGAAAGAAAAATACAGTGATTGGCAGGAGGGCTAGCAGAGAAAAGCTGATTTAGTAAAGAAAAAATGTTTTCCTTATGTCAGAATCCAAGCCAAATAGATACAGAAAGTGACACTTTGTTTAAGAAAGCAAGGATATAAATATGTAAACAGTCTTGATTAGTTTGAGGTTTGATACAGTGATGCAAAATGAACTCAGTAAAACTTAACAGGTATTTGTAGACTTGTAGGCGAGGAGGTTTCTCTCCTCTTTACAAAGGATAGCCATACTGCAAATACTGTACTGTCCAAGAAATACTGTAGCCTTCTGACGTATCCCACCGGTCACATTATCAATCCAATTAATATGTAGTTTTTCATTCTACTATTCTTACAGTGTTGAGAAAACGTTTGTGACCCCCAATATAATAATTTTAGGATTTATAATTTCTTACTATGATACCCTTGTTTAATTGAAAGATTTTTTAACCAAAAAGCTTTATATTTTCCAATTTAGTGTTTCATAGATACAGTGGCAGAAAACAAAATACTTAAAAATCATTGTATTTGAAATAGGTGAAGCCCTAGTGTTCTTAGTACAATTATAGTAGGTGATTATCAATCATATGAGGTTAAGCAGACCTGCCTATATAATAGAGACATTTTTCTGAAGATTGTGGTCTTCACCATACAACCTAGTGGAAAAATGTCATGCCATGATCAAAAGAGTTCTCAGAAGACCTCAGAAAAAGATTAGTTAATGTTCATCAGCCTGGAGATGGTTACAAAACCATTTCTAAACACTTGGAGACCGTACAAACTGAAAAAATCAAGACCACGGGGACTCTAATCAGGACCTCTTGTTCTGCCAAGATCTCTCTAAGTATAACTAGTAAGAACAGCAGAGTAACATCTACGCATCTGGAGGTCTCGCTCGTAGTGTCTAATGTCAGTGCCCATGCCTCAAATATCAAGAAAGCCTGAACAGGAATGGTTTTCATGGGAGGGGATAGCCAGGAAGAAATCATTTCTCTCTGAAGAAAACATTGCTGCTCATTTCAGGTTCACCAAAGAGCATCTGGATAGTCCGCAACACTACTAGAAGAACGTTCTCAGGACAGAAGAATACACAGCCATGAATTCTACATTGCATCAGCAAATTCTGGAAGAGAATGTCAGGCCATCCATTCTTCAGCTGAAGCGGAGCTGAAAGTGTATCATGTAGGAAGTCAATGGTCCAAAACACACAAACATCTACAACATGAAAATTAGCATCTTGGATTGCAAAATGCCAGATCCAGACTGAAACACACAAAAATATTATAGCATAAACTGATGCGAGCTGTTCATGCAAGGAAACTCTCAGCTTCCCCACCTCAAAAAGTTCAAACTGCTTTATTAAGACTTTCATGGAGTTCTAATTATGTTTTAGATCTAATTATATTAACATATATATTTAAGAGTTCAAAACATTGAGCTCCTTTTAGCACTGTACTTATCTTCTCTATAAATTATTATAGTTTGACAGCTGATTTTAACATGGTAAAGTCCACAATTTCCTAATGAGTCAGTAGCAAATAAGACTCTATCAAAAACAATTGATCTGTGAATGAACAACATAGTGACCAACTTTACGAGCTCCCTTGGTGCTAGCAGGGAGTGCTGAAGACATAATTTGCTAGGAAATTTAAATTCCTGATTAATCCAGATATCCAATGTATGATCACAACACAAAGTTCATATTTAATGACATTTTGTCTGCTCATAACTTGTTACTTCCAGTGGTTTCGACCTACTTTACCCTACCTACTGTGAAATGACATGCAATTTACAACTTAGGAGTTATAAGCTCTTTCCACTAGAAGGGTCTGCACTGGTCATTGCATGCATAAAGAAGAAATTGCTCAGTGTAATTATTGTGTAATTATACATCTATTTCTAGTAATGTAAAATGGCTCTGTAGCTGAGCTTGACATGGTAATGGTGTCAAATTTGTTTTTCATTACAGCTCTATGGAAAGGTCATGTGAACATCTGGAAAACAGTCTAAGGACAATAGCTAATATAAATTTATTTTCTAGTCATAGTATATTTTTTCAGAGTAGATACCTGATACAGAAACACATATCAGTGTTGGGAAAGTGACCAAGAAAACCTTAAGGACAACAGCTAAGTCCATGAATTAGGCAGTAAAAATTCACTAACATTGGATTTCTTGTGGAACATTTATTCTCTGGTTCAGAAGTGATGCAGTGCGTCTGAGTACCTATACATACTATATGTAAGACTCTAACTAGTATTAATGTACTTTATGTTTAACATCTCAAAATAATATTTGTCATGTACAAATGTTGAAGCAATTACTCTCTATGCATCGGTGTGAAAATTAAACTTCAGTTCATTTACGTTGGGTTTGAAATTAATCAAGCTTCCAAGCGTTCATTTCAAAATTACAGTAATATTTAATACTGTGTCTGTATCAAAAATTCACTTCTCAAAATGAAAAGAGAAAAAGAGTCAACATTCACTCAAGATTTCATTTCCATTTTTTTCCAGGCTTACAGAGAACTTCATAGATTCCCTTTTTCAGGAACTTTTTTCTATCCATAGGATGACATTGCCATTGTTTAATATGGGGCTTTTTACAGTGTTGTAGTGATTCAAGATGTTTTCCTTTTAAAAATATCCTATTATTTGCTTTTGCTTTTATACTGCCATGCTCCCTAAATGGAATGGCTGAAATGTAATCAACTCAGTTTACTGCTACAACCCTTCACAAGCAGCCTCTGCTTGGTCACATTGCAGGTGTACAGGTATCCTTTAATTATCAATTACAAGCTAAGGGGATTGGAGAGATGGAGTTCTCCCTGATAGCTCTAAGCTCCCAAACACTTGGCATGTCACGGGGGTTGCCATTGCTCATGTTAATTTAAATAAGCAAAATCTCAATTGACTGCCTTGCCTGCCTGTAAAAGTTTACAGATGGCAGCCACCAGTTTTTGTGGGTCACTTCAGTTAGTAATGCAGAGGCAGTCGAAGGGTTGATTAACTGCTGTCTGTGGGTGTCCAATGCAGGTCTTCTAAAAGAGGAAGGTGTCAAATTAAAAGTCTGTCTGTTTCCTTTGGTATTCGTTTACAACAGCTGCCCTGTCACCCAGTCTGAAAGAGAGCAAAGGGTTGTTAGCTGGTAATTTGGAATCCCAGTGATTGACACTATTAGGAAAAAAAACGGAAATTTACAGTGTGCAATTTTAGCAGAAGAGATAGTTTATTTCCTAATGTACAGTAAGTCATGTCCTCCTCTATTACCAGCTGTTTTAATCTGATTTCCACATGGGATGGGTTTGAACAAAAGGAAAAACAAAGTCACAGAACAGTCTCATTTTCTCTGCAGGTCAGTACTTTCACTGTTACTTTGGTGACAGTTGGAACTGACCGGTTGCTTGCTCAAAAACATCACGACATGATCATACTTTTCTCACGGGAGACTTAACGTCAATAAAACCTTTTTGCAGGTTTCATAAGTCAAGCAAAGAATTCCTCTCTGCCCTGAAAATACATGGTAAGTCCAGACGTCTGAACTATCAATGACTCAAATAATGAAGTCAGTTTCAATTGCCATTAAGAAAATGCTGGATTTTTACATCAGAGACTTTCTTTAAAATGAGTGAGCTTCCTCTAGTCTTACACATCCAATGTATATTTCCTAAAGTGAACAAAAATACAGCCATGTTTTTTTTAATTTTTTTATTACTGAAACAGAAGAACAATCACAATCAAACAAACTTAACAAAAATAGCATTATCCTTTTTTTTCATTTTAGGTAATAAAATCAAATTGTCCAGGCGTTGACATATACTGTCTTCAGGGTAAGTGATTGAAAGTCAATGGAACACATGAACGCTCCTGGAAGTACCGTATATATTGCTGACAATTTGGATATCTCCATGACATACAGTACTTTAAAGGGTAATTAGTTCACCTATAGCCCTTTTTGGACACCTATAGAATTTCTATGGGTCTTAAAAATAGAAAACTATTTTGTACGCCTGAGCATTTGCATTTAAAATCAATGGTATGAAGGAAAAGAACACCGCCTTCTTCAAAATGACAAAAAGATTTATAAAAAATTGAACTTTCTCATGACAGAGAAAGGGGCTCTCTTTTACCTTTGTTATACAGAGAAGCTACAAAAATGTAATCCTACACACTTCTGTGGAACCGAACTGAAGCACACTCTTCTTTTAAAATTAAGTGTTAGAAATGTTAAATGTGAAATTACATATAAAGTGGATATATATATACCCTTTTTATAACTAGCATCTACTTCAACGTTTGTTATAAAAAGGAACAAGTAGAGGTTATTTCCACGCTGAGTAGTACAAAGACGTTACACCCGAAGGAAACTCCACCGCTACAGTGTTTTGTCGTCTTCCTTTCTGAGTGAATCAGCATAGAATTCAGTTCTATTTGTGCCTTTTCAGCTTGTGTGCTGGTGAAGCTTCCCATCTGAACTTCTATAGTTATACAATGGCCTTACACCTAATAAAAAAGACAATGATATAATTCTAATAAAACTTCTAATAAAAACCGGTCTTTCATATTTGCTTTGTCACATAAAGGTCGTTTATGAAGATGTTCAACAAGGAAGAAAAGCAAGAAGTTAAAAATGAAAAATGTTTGTTTATATATTCTACATTCCATTATAAACATGGTAAGATGTGTGTTCTTTAAAACTGTTTAAGTACTTTAAGATTATATAATTACTGCATTGAAACAACCTTCTTTAGTAACTGATTAGGTTAATCAGATACGATTGTCCAAGACTTTGCTATTTCACACAAACAATACCCTGCCTTACTTGCATAATCACGTGGTGATAAGATTACTGACTAGTGAGAGAATACAGGATTGACTTTAAAATGACACAAAATCCCACATACTTACAAGGTGTGCTTTAATAAGTAGCATATAGTTTTCTTTTGTTTTTTACTAAACAATTAAAAAATGTAATGGTATACAAATAATACTGTATATATGTCCAAACAAATATTTTCACTACACACAATTAGGGCTATTTAACTTTTTTATTGATCATTTTCTACCGCATAAAAGATCCAGGATAAAAATGATCAAAAACTCTTTTAATAACCCATCTTCCTTTACAACAAAAGGAATAATCTTTTCTCGTTTGCTCAAAGAAGTATGTCTATATTTTAACTTAAAATACAAAATCAGGTGAACCTGTGGTAGAGATTGGCAGATGAGTTATTTCAGATGTGAGCTTTAATGTTGTATTTTAAAGCACTGCAACTTTATAAGGTTGCACACATAAAAAGTACAAATAGAAACGCTTGAATACAATTTCAGCATTGCTTCAAAAAAGTCTTCCACTATTTTTTCCTCTAGCTTCTTATACTTAATTGTATTGTCAGATTCACAAAGTATGATCACTTTTGCTTTGAAGCTTTACTAGTGTGTATAAAAAGATCCAAAATCCAACCATTAAATCAAACAAAAAAAGACAAACCAATTCCTAACTATTAAGAGTTCTGTGAAGATACTGTATTAGTAATGACTTCAGACTGACTCTGAGCAAGTGTGCGAGATGAATGACCAATTTGTCAGAGGTTATGACAAAGAGGATCTGTTGGGAATCCAGCCCATTTGATAGGCTCTCTCCAAGGTTCTCTTGCAATCCTGCATCACAGTGCTGAATGTTATGTGTGGATACTGCTGGACCAACTGCTCCACAGTCTCTTCATTCACCTGTCAAAGAACGAACAACAAGGAAACCAAGTCAGCAATTAGTCACCCACTGGTAGCAGCTAAATTTGTTTGTTTCAAACACTTAAATGAAATTCAGTTTTTGACACTCTCATTAATGCATAACCTCCAGCCTGAGAAATAGAAATTGCACTGAGTCAAAAACAGAAACCAGTCAACTGTACACGCCACAAGTAAAACATTCTGTAAACCTGACACCTAAAAGATGATAAGCATTTTCTTTCTTTCAGTTTCTTGTTTCAGACTGTCTGCTACATGAATGCCAGTGGTGCTAAAGAAATATGTATGACATAATGGTTCCCCTTAAAACTTCAGGATATAATAACTCAAGAAACTCAAGTCTGTTCATCTAACTGGTGTCCCTGTGCATTTTCAATTTCTAATAGTAGCCAGTGAGGACGCTGTGACTCTCAGGCAAATGATTTACAAATGTAAGTACATGAAGTTCTCCTGACTCTAGCCATACAGGCTGTGAAAAACAGTTACTACAAAACAGCAACCAAAAACTGCTGGAGTTTTACGTCTTGGAGTTTTACATTAAACTCATAATGCATTAGAGACAGAGAAAGGTTAAAACAAATAGAAGCATGTGATGCAGAAGCTCAAAACGTCTGTTCAAAACTAAAACATACCGCATAGTCATCTACTTTATTTTTGACTACATATACAGTATGTCAAGAGTACAGCACTTGACACTAGTAATAATAATAACAATAATAATTGTATACTGTATAGCACCTTTAAAGGTGGCTTCTCAAAGATGGAGGTACTAAATACTGTAAAGTAGGAGCAAAGGGGTAAAGAACAGAACCAGTTAAGTAAAGGCTCTTCTAAAGAAGAAGGTTTTAAGTCTAGATTTGAAGGAGTTTAGAGAAGGTGACAAGGAATGATATTAGGGTTTGAAAGTCTTGAGAAACAGATATACATGCAGCTTGCACAAGATCCTCCTATCTTCTAATCATCCAACTCAGGATTGCAGGGTAACCGGAGCCTATATCCTTGTCAATGGGTACAAATGTGGTACACACACAGACACAAACATGCACACACTCACTCAATGAGCCAGTTTTCGAAGTAGCCCACTGACCTACCAGTACATCTTTGGACTGTGGGAGGAAACATTGAGAAAACATGCAGACACCTCCCCAGGTCTGGAACTGAACCCCAGCCACCAATGCTATGAGGCAGCGAGGCAGTGATACTTACCACAGTACCACCCCAATTTGTACAATACAAATAATGCAAATGCTTTGGTCTCAAGAACAATAAATCCAACAATGATTACCTTTATATATACTGTATAATAAATCAAAACACAGTAGTTGTAAAAGAAAACTCCTCAGCTACTGTTGACTGGCCACCCTACAGCTTGGCTCTAAAGTGTTGCAGTATGCATACAATCTAAGCATTGCCAAATGTCTGTCTGCAGGAGGTTTCAGTTTTACCTCTTGCCTAATGCTGCCAAATACGTCTTCTTACTCTTTAATTATAAATATTGGCTAAAATGTCTATGTGTTGGAACTTCTCAGTATTCAGACCAAGATTATGAGCCTGGGTGAGTTTCTGAGCAGGAAAGTAATGATTTACAGCTGCAAGTCAGTTCCTTTTCCTTATTTGTACAAAAGATACAGGAAAGCTAGAGGGCACATCTTTACTGCCCTAAACAATAGATGCAATCTTCGTGTATTTGGGCGAACAGAGTGCGAGCATGTAATTTACCTGTCTTTACAAATTAACAAAGTGCAAATGTGGTGTTGTACCGTATTGCTTCAAATTTCCAAAACCACAAACAGAAAGTAATTCAACACTGAATTGTCCATCTACCAAGGTAACTTGATTATACCATCAATTCCCATAGTGCTAGGCTGCCAGTATGTCAAACAGAGCCATTTCTTTATGCTCTGTTTACCCTTGATTTCACATTATGCACACTGATACACTGGTCTGTGTTATCTGTTGGTTGAGATCATTTACAGCTTCTTCCTAACATTTTTGATAAAGGCAACTTCAGCTGTGTTTTTAATCAACTTTAAGTCTGGAGATGAAAGTGTTACCTGACAACAGCCTGTTCCTATTCCCAAGATGAGACAAATACAACAACAGCATTATCAATGCTAAGAATCTTGAACAGTCTGACACTTCAGTGAAGAGGTGTGACACTGCTCTATCATGGTCACTTCAACAAGATAAGAACCCTGATCTAAAAAAAAAAGTCACTATTTAATTGAAATCTTTAGAGTTTGATGTTCTCATTGGCACAGAAATGTATGACAAATCAATCCAATTGTCTACACTCCACCACTTAAAAATACCTTACAGCAAAAACATGGATATTGAGCACCTAATTTGAGAGCACTACTGTAAACAGATGCAGCTATCAGAAATGCACAAGGTGTCAATCAGTGAGAGTCATACCACTGTAACTGCGTTGTCACGGACCAGAGCGAGTCGTGGCTTTTTTATTTTTTCTGATATTCGAATGTAGGACTACAGTACTATGTAAAAATTCCAGGTGGTGCAGTGAATCCCAACTCTCTTTACGGAAGTTTGTACGAGGTTTCAGTGTAGTACGTTCACCTTAAATAGTGATAAAGAATATATGTTTTTAATAATTTCACAAAGTATCAAAGCATTGCACAAACAAGTGATCACTAATATCCAACAACAATAATAATCATCTTTATACTTATATGGCGCTTTTCTGGACACTCCACTCAAAGCGCTTTACAGGTAATGGGGACTCCCCTCCACCACCACCAATGTGCAGCCACCACACATGGATGATGTGACGGCAGCCATAGTGCGCCAGAACGCTCACCACACACCAGCTATCAGTGGGGAGGAGAGCAAAGTAATGAAGCCAATTCATAGATGGGGATTATCAGGACTGGTAAAGGCCAATTGGAAATTCGGCTAAGATGCCGGGAAAACACTCCTACTCTTTTCGTGAAACATCCTGGGACCTCAGTTTTATGTCTCATCTGAAGGACAGTGCCTTTTTACAGAATAGTGTCCACCTGGAGTGTATGTGTCCTTATAATCTTGAATTCTCTGGGAAAGTATAGACAGTATAGGCCTGGTTCAGGGGTTGGATTCAATTTGGTTTCTCTTGGGTACCAAATCTGAAACATCAGATTTTTTTAGATGTCTTATTCACTACACACACTAGGAGGAAATATGTAAAAAAGCAACAACATTTACATTTGTGGGAAATGTAGTTTTTGGTCCACTAATTCAGCTCACGTGTGATTAAAACATCCTGTTCTGTTCTAAAATGACCTTTTAAATAAAAAAAATAAAATGTATAACTCTAAAATGAACAAATAAATAAATGAATATAAGTTGATAGAATAATAGCTTATTTTACTCTAAGAAACCATGAAACTATCACCAGCAAAAATGTCAAAACACTGCATTAAGCCATGTAAAAATTAAGCTATTACATTTACATTCTTTTCTTTTTGTGGCATTTAGGGATGATTGAAAAGCTTTTTTGCAAAGTGCAACTGTTTCTCAAATTCCATTTTTTGAAGAAAATAAAAAAGTCCCACTTTATATGAAAAATGTATCCTGTCTATCTAAGAGGTCCTTAATACTGTGTGCAAGACACTGAAATGTCATTCCTGGTGAAGAAACATTTTAAGGATAAAAGGTATTTTTTATCCCAAGAGAAATCATCAGTTTCTGCCACCATTTGGTCAAAAGAAAAAAACAGCTGAATTCAAAGATGTGGTCTGCTCTATGGTACAGTGTACACAGAGCTGCATACATAATGGATACATATGCTGCAAAATCAGTTCCATGGCGATTATTTACTGCCATTTTGGTTTAACAGTTAATTCTACAAAAAATATTTGGTATTTATGGATGTGTAGAGAGGAACAAATGATTTTAATGACAAAGAACATCTGACAATGAGTAATTTAGAAATGGTTAATAGATGTGATGGAACAGTTCATATTAGTGGCTTTTGTCCAATTTACTGGAGATGTTATGATAATCCTTTTGAGGATTCTGATCAATCTGAGTTAAAGATGGTTAAATGACTAGCTCGGTTTCTTCTAACCAACCCTAAGCTATAGTAATAACAATCAAACTAATTCCTGTTTCTGTTTAATTCTAAGGCTTTTGCATGAACATGGGCTAATTGTCAATACTTTAACAATTCTTTGGCAGTTATCAGGTAATCTAAACTACACCCATTTTCTTACTCAATCTATCTTTCCACTAATCCACATTTCCATATCCCAAACCAAACTTTTTTTTATCTCATATACATCCTATTGTTCAAATAAGTAAGACGTACACAGAAGCACTGCACTTAAAACACAAAGCAGGCTTAATATGGTATATTTACAACAACTGTTGCAATGTACCATCAATTTTGAATTAATCTACATTTAGCAATAACAGGAAGCCACTCCCAAATGAGTCTATTAAACCAAGCATTCACTATATTGTGAAAGTATACTGCAATATGCAGTAAATATGTAGTAAATATTTAATTTCACCTAAATTACTGGGACAACTTATAAAATCAAGATGAACCAGAGTCACATAATAGAGAAAGTGGTTCTGGCATCAGAAAGAGTGTCTAATAGAGCTTAATTGTTCCAGATGTCACCACATTCACGTGCAATGTGAAGTCTGAACTGAGTTCAGCATGTTGCTGAAGCATCCCCTTGAAATTGGGGTTATTTCTATAACAAAAATCCTGGAATGCCTACCTTCTCATGACTAGCAAAAAAGACTCAGCTAAAGCAATTTATGACTCCGCTTAAAATGTCAAAAAGCCAGCTGTGATGGTAAACTTACAGTCTAAATAGCAGAAAAGCTTGTCATACTGTCTGATAAGGGATGCCTGTATCTCATCTTATCAGAATTTCAAACTACAGATAATAGGTAAAACCAGTCACTGTGGTTTTGGTCTGCTTCTTTATAAATGAGTTGACATTAGCAGTGCCTGTAAGACTGCTCTTTTC